GGTCAAGGATGAGGGAGGTTGATTCTCTCTAGGCTGTGAGGATGAGGCTCATGAATGCTCCCTTACTCCAATGTGGAGAGGAAGCTCTTGGACGACCCTTGCTCCAAGGTGGTAGAGGAGACTCTTGGATGAGCTCTTATACGATCATGTGTGCTCCTCTACTGATGTAACTCTTGGAACCTGATTAGCTTGACCGGGTGCAGATCCCTCTGGGCTTGGCTAGCTGGACCTCTTGGAGTTGGGCCCTTAGGTTTGGCCCATCACCAAGGGACAAAAAGAAAAAAAAAGTGGCAGAGGGATGCAAGGTCTTCCAAAACAAAGAAGAGGCACCAAAACAACAAAATCCATAAGAAGAATTCTCCAACCAACAGCCCAGAAGTAAGCAATACACAAAAATCTATTGCATGACATATGTTGCACTTCCCAGTTCCTACCCATACTTTTTCCTGTGATGACATTGAGTAAACTCCTATGATGGCATGAACAATCAGCAAAAGACATACATGTAGATGATTAAATAAAAATTGAATAACATCCAAACAACTAAATAGGCTAAGGGCAAATCGATGTTTATGAGTGTAATCAATTAAGCACAACCAGACAAAAAACATAAGAGTTAACAGGACCGAAAAATCTGAATTTGGTGTTAATAAAAGAAATTAGGAACACTCACATGATTATATTTTTTTTTTTTCCTAAAACCAATTTTCTTTTGGGCTATGGCTCATATTTGATTTGAACATGCAGAAGTGATCAAAAGTTTAAAACTTTATATATATAACCACTGTTATGCAATTTTTTTTTTGTTAGAGGAAATCCCTTACTGCCCCACCCCAACCCTTTTTTTTTTTTTAAAGAAAAGAGAGATTTTATTGAATGAATAAAAAAATTACAATAAGCAAACAAGAATCAAAGATTTCAAAATTACAACCAAGGTTTTAATCCTTCAAAAAGGCCTCCTAAGACCACCATTACCATTAGGAAACCGCCTTCTTCTTTCAAAAACCAAGACCTGTTTCCTCCTCAAAGAAGGTAGCTTTGATTGGTCTTAACTCAAAATCAACTTAGCAACTGCTGGCAACAAACTAGAATCAAAAAAATCAACACTGCATTGAGACTGAACAACATATGAGGCTAGAAAGTTAGCTATCCCATTAGCCTCTCTATAAACATGATAAATTCTGGCTTTAAGTTGAACAAACAAGGCCAAAATTTGCTCCAAGACAGCTTTACATCTCCAAGTAACCTCCATATTTCCCAACACCATCTCAACCAATACTTGCGAATCAGATTCAACAAGAATCTGATACGCCTTCAAACCATACTGGAAGACTAGATTCAAACCATCCAGCAGAGCTCTACACTTTGCATTCATATTAGTGCCAACCCCATAAAAGGCAGCAGCAGCCAGAACCACATGACCATCACCATTCCTTAGCACCATACCCCAACCCAGCCCTCCACCCTCAGTTGCCACCTCAAAAACAATTTAAAGAAGAAGAAGAATTCTAAACAACCCACTCTCTCTCAAAGCCCATAAAACCATTAGACCATCCTCGCCAACTAAAAAAATACCCGAATTAGATCCCCACCCCTCTGATTTAGATGAACCAATAGGGACCCATAAGAGGAATCCACACCCCGCTACTGCATCAAATACAAAAACGAAGAAGAAAAAATGTAAACAATTCCATTCACCAAAAGCCACCACAATCCTCAACCCATCCCCAACAAAAAAGGGTAAAAAAAAAAATTAGAATCCCTACCCCTCCCCTTTGTTTCATAGCGCCCAACCCCACCTCACTGCTGCCACTAACAGAAAAATGAAGAAGCAACTGAAGAAAGAGAGAGAGAGACCTATCTGTCGAAGAGAGGGAACACATGTACCACTGACCTTCGTCGGACAACAGAGAGAGCGAGAGACCTCCCAGAAGATTCCCCTTCACTTTCATTGTTGTCGTTGCCNCTTCGTCGGACAACAGAGAGAGCGAGAGACCTCCCAGAAGATTCCCCTTCACTTTCGTTGTTGTCGTTGCCTATGTGCNGTCGAAGAGAGGGAACACATGTACCACTGACCTTCGTCGGACAACAGAGAGAGCGAGAGACCTCCCAGAAGATTCCCCTTCACTTTCATTGTTGTCGTTGCCTTCTCAGCCAAGGAGCCCTTTTGATGAATGGTTGGACGAAGTGAAAAGGGTAGGAACATTTTTCTATGTAGGGGGTAAAAATGTCATTGCATCTCTTATCCTGTTGACAAGGTTTGTAACCCATGGGAGAGGTGGGTTATATTTAACCCATGTAGCTTGGATAAAAAATACAGTAGCACTCGGGTCAAGGTTTGACCTGAGATTTATATCCTCACTCAATTTTTGCTTCCCAGACAAGGGTTTTGTGGGACCCATGACTTTATTAGCCTACCCATACGAGTGTTAACCCACTTTAACCTAATAGCCAAACATACCCAGGGTTTCTAGAAGTTGGATTTGCCAAATTCAGGTCTTGCCTCTCCCTAGAAAATCAAGCGATAAGTAAGGTCCTATTTAGTAACGTTTACGTTTTTTGTTTTTCGTTTTTATTTTTATTTTTAGAGTAAACAAGAAAAAAAAAACTCGTTTGATAACCGATTTTTTTTGTGCCACCGTTTTATAAACANTCTTGCCTCTCCCTAGAAAATCAAGCGATAAGTAAGGTCCTATTTAGTAACGTTTAAATTTTTTGTTTTTCGTTTTTATTTTTATTTTTAGAGTAAACAAGAAAAAAAACCGATTTTTTTTGTGCCACCGTTTTATAAACAAGGGGCGATTTTCAAAAACCAAAAAAAGACATTTTTGAAAAAAAAAAAAAAAAGTTTAACACAGGTTTGTTTTTAATGAGGTCAAGGATTTGAACCTTATTAACACCAAAAAGACACATTTATTGGACACTCATATAAATAGCAATACCCTAACCCTAACCTTTCAAACCTGTCTTCGTGCCTCTCAGCTTCATCGCTTCTCTCTCTCTCTCTCTCACCTCTCCTCTTCTGCGCCAGTCCTCTTCCTCGCCAGGCCTCTTCGTCGACTGTCCTCTTCATCGCCAGGCGCCTCTCCTATTCAATGAAGACATTAATAGTTGTTCTACTCTGCGTCAATGAAGGTACATCCCTTTGATTTTTGCTGATTTTTTTTCTCTAATTTTTAGTGGTTATAGATCTGATTTTTGGTGGTTATAGATCTAATTTTTGGTGGTTATAGATCTAATTTTTGCCTATCTCTGGTTATAGATCTGATTGCTGATTTTTCTCTCTGATTTTTGTTGGTTATAGATATGATTTTTTGCTGATCTCTTGTGTGTTGTGTTGTTGATTAACGTCATAAGAAGAAATCATTAGAAACTGTAAAAATGGGTTTTGTCTGATGGCCTAACATCACCGTACAGTTTCAATTTTAAACGGGTTGTCTCCAAGAGTTGAAAGCATAGTGGACTTAGGAGTTCTGTGACAAAAATGGCTATTGGAGCCTTCAGAAAGTGCAAGCTAAGGGCCAAAAATTCAATGGAAATCTATGTTGAATCCACAGCAAAATGCTTCTAAGTGTTGTTTTAGTTAATTTTACTTTCATTGGCATGTTAGATTCTGTTGATTTTTCCATTCATTGTATTAGAATATCCCTCATAAATTGGTTTATGAAACTTGTGGATTTTTCCATTCATTGGATATTGATTTTTAGTTCGACACTTTATTTTATTATTTTTAGAGGCCTTGGGATCAAAGTGAAATCACACAAGTGAATTCGACCTAACCAAAAAAAAAAAATTTTTGGACTTAACCAATTTTTTTTTTTTTTTTGACTTAACCAATCTTTCTACCAGCATTGGTGAGCTTGATAGCATGCACCTATTAGTGATTTTGTATTTGTATCAGAAATGTGAAACTNAAATTTAATTCCAGAGTCAGTTGTTATATGTATATGCATATTGTGTTGTGGTCCCAGATGTTACATCCTGTCAGATTTTTGTTTCATAATGAAATAAGTTAAGAAAGTTGTTAATATCTCCATTTATTATAATGTAGGATGATTGAGCATAAGTTTACTATTCAAATGCACTATGGGGGATATTTTATTTGGAAGCCACACATTCGGTACGAATGTGATAAGGTAAAATACATTAGAGATTGTGATCTAGAAAAATATCATAATAGAGATAGCAGATTTGCATGCCATAGTAGGTAGAGATGATATAAACAATGTCATTTATTATGGGCTTCCTTGTTATAGTTTGGACGTGGGTTTGAGAAGATTATTGAAATGATTTCTGTATATAAAGGTCTACCAGTTATTATCATATATGTGGAGAAAGATATTAATTTGTTGCAGATGCTTATATTTTGTCAAGTTCTTATGGCGTAAATCTGGAAAATGCATTACCTATTGAAGGGGTGACTAAAGTTGACACTAATGTATTACCTGTTGAAGCTGACTCTGATGATCCTGATTATGTATTAAATGAGAGNTGTTTTTTATTTTTAAGAGAAACCAAAATTGTAAATGTTTCCAAACGAGCCCTAAGGTATCTGTTTAACTAGATTACTTGTTGATATTCAATTTCTGTGTATACTTATGATTGTCAAAATATTATTTATGATTTGATTTTCTCGTTGTTAGGTATTCATGACTTTTTAAACCTTTTTCTTTTTAATTTTTAAATCAAGAATTAGTTGTATATTAGCTCTCCACTTTTCATTTTGAATGGTAGTATTTGTGGTCCAAGTTGTGTTGTAGTCCTAGATCTTCCTAAAGTAGTGTTGTCTCCACTATGACTTTTTAAATCATAACTTTAAAAAAAAAATAAATTTAATTCCAGAGTCAGTTGTTATATGTATATGCATATTGTGTTGTGGTCCCAGATGTTACATCCTGTCAGATTTTTGTTTCATAATGAAATAAGTTAAGAAAGTTGTTAATATCTCCATTTATTATAATGTAGGATGATTGAGCATAAGTTTACTATTCAAATGCACTATGGGGGATATTTTATTTGGAAGCCACACATTCGGTACGAATGTGATAAGGTAAAATACATTAGAGATTGTGATCTAGAAAAATATCATAATAGAGATAGCAGATTTGCATGCCATAGTAGGTAGAGATGATATAAACAATGTCATTTATTATGGGCTTCCTTGTTATAGTTTGGACATGGGTTTGAGAAGATTATTGAAATGATTTCTGTATATAAAGGTCTACCAGTTATTATCATATATGTGGAGAAGGATATTAATTTGTTGCAGATGCTTATATTTTGTCAAGTTCTTATGGCATAAATCTGGAAAATGCATTACCTATTGAAGGGGTGACTAAAGTTGACACTAATGTATTACCTGTTGAAGCTGACTCTGATGATCCTGATTATGTATTAAATGAGAGTATTGATGATACTGATAGTGATGACCCAAGTTGGCAATATGAAGATCTTGAGGGTGACAATGATGACATTTTCAATGTTATTGTTCCAACTACTACTGCTAATTGTCAACTTGGTGGGGGTAGATGAAGACCAAGTTAGACAATCATGTGGTGTTGAGGTGGATGTTGATAACTGGTATTCTGAGCCAGAGAATGATGAGGAATTACAGAGTTTAAGAGGGTCATCAGATGAAGAGGGTGATGATTACCCTGAATTCAATGAGAGTGTCCACATGAGGAATCCAGTGTTGGTTGTTGGCATGAAGTTTCTATCACCACAGACATTTAGAGAGCTGCATAGAGAGTATAAGGTGGTGAATGGATATGATATTGTATATATGAGGAATGAAAACAAAACGATAACAACCACATGTAGGTATGGATGTGATTGGAGAATCCATGTATCTCCAATAGGTGGGATTAGTACTTTTTAACTTAAGACATTAACTGGGAAACATGTATGTGGTAGGCATTATGACAACAAGTCAATTCTAAGTATTTCGGAAAAATATATCTTGATGATGTGAGAGATAACCTTGGGATTCAAGTTACATCATTTAAGAATTCATTCAAAAGGAAAATAATGATCAATGCAAGAGTATATCAGGTTTATCGCGCAAAGAGAAAAGCCAAAGATGTTATTAATGGGGATATGAAGGAGTAGTATCATAGGTTGTGGGATTAATGGGCTTAGGGATAACCTAAGAATTAACGTGCTGGCTAAAGGCCCAACCATATTATCTGCAGCCACAGGCCTTGCTAGGCTTTATGAGGCCCACAACCTTGACTCAAAGAGACCCACAATGGATTTGAGAAAGGGCTCATTTTCCACCATCGCTACACTAGGGGCTCCATCGCTATCATCGACACTACTTACACGACACAAAGCACCGGTGATCCTCAAGCTAAGTCTCGACAAACTGAAGAAGAGGCGTAAACGAGGGCTTTGCTTTGATTGTGATGAGAAATTCTCGCGTGGGCATCGCTGCAAGCAGTTGTTTTACTTGGAGGGAGGTTTTGTCGAAGACGAAGAAGACCCACCCATCACTGTAGAAGAGGGAGCCAATTAAGAGGAGGAGATTCCCGAGATAAGTTTGTACGCCATAATGGGAAACCATACACCGCAAATGATGCGAGTTTGGGGAAAGATTAATGGCAGAAAAATTATCACCCTTGTTGATTCGAGAAGTACCCATTATGTAAAACTCAGGTAAATTTGAATTTTTATGAAAAGGGGAAAAACAATCATTTTTCATTATGGTACGAGTTGAAAATTTGAAATTTTCTACAACTCGGATGATGAGACCTCACCGGTGGATTCATCTCGCGAATCTAGTTATCCAAACAAATTTCGTCGAACTCTGACACTGTTAGATTTTTTACGTTTTACGAGACAATCGAATCTCATGTAACCTAAAAAAGGGATATAAATTAAATTTTGAAAGTTGAAAAATAATTTAAAGGAAGTTCATACAAAAATATTTTAAACTTGAACCAGGGCAAAAATTTATCATTTTGGGATGAAATCGGACCCGAAAATGAGGAACGTATGGCGCGATGTAGACCAATCATTTAAAGGGTATAAATAGGGGAGAAAATCAAATTTTCTCCCCATTCTTTTTGCTGGGTTACGTTGGAGAGAGGAAGAGAGAGAAAAGAGAGAGTTTACTCTCTCTACGATCAACGGAGTTCCGTTAGTTGGAATCTTTCGGACTAAGTATCAAAGTTGATCTACACGATGAGGGCTATGCCTACGTACTAAAAATGATGAATTTCATTGAAATTCAAGAAACAAAATTTTGGAAAAACTTGGATTAGAGCATGTTGCAGGTTCTTGGAGCTTTCTAACCTTATTTTACGCTTCAAGAGGTAGGATTTTCATCCTAACTAGATTTATTTTCAACCTAGGGTGATTATATGAAATGGATAGGTTATTAGATGTATTTAACACTTGCCTATTGTTATAAATTGATAAAATGAGTATTAGAAATGGGTAGAATAAATTCTATCTTGAATTAGGTATGTAGAAATTACTTAATGTGATTTCTTGAGTTATGTGACGATATTTGGCATTTTATGTGATTACATGATTTTGTGCCTTGAAGGTGTTTGATTTAATGCCTATGTGAAATTAACTATACTTTGCATAGATTATGTATAACATGCTTAGAAAATTGTAGTTGAATGTAGATGTCGATATATGCTAGATAATAAATTGACATTATGTGAATTTATGGAAATTATATGTCTATGATATAATTAACCGTGGTGTATGTTGAAATGTGGTTGAGATTATTCATAGGGCAATCATACATATTGGACATGATATAGTTGTTGCAATTGTATATTATATTGCATTTGCACGGAGACATCGTATTCACGGGCATGAGGCATGAGGCATGAGTGTGGGTGTGGGTGCATGGTTGTCATCAAATACCACACTTGGTGGATGATGGGTCGGCTTGAAAAATTTGGATTGAAGATCTGGTTAAGTTGCACGGTTTGTATTGAAAATTGGGTCGGGGTTAGCGAGAAGAGCTGGATCGTCCGTCATGTGCAAAACCTGGTGATTAGGATACGCACTCCCTTGGTTTAGTCCATAAAGTGTGTCGGTGTATGTGGAATCATTGGTGGAAGTCCATGAATTTCGTTTCGGTTAGATACCCGTTGGTGTAAGTCCACAAAAACCCACCTCAAGAAAGATTCAAAAAAAATTTAANTGTAGACCAATCATTTAAAGGGTATAAATAGGGGAGAAAATCAAATTTTCTCCCCATTCTTTTTGCTGGGTTACGTTGGAGAGAGGAAGAGAGAGAAAAGAGAGAGTTTACTCTCTCTACGATCAACGGAGTTCCGTTAGTTGGAATCTTTCGGACTAAGTATCAAAGTTGATCTACACGATGAGGGCTATGCCTACGTACTAAAAATGATGAATTTCATTGAAATTCAAGAAACAAAATTTTGGAAAAACTTGGATTAGAGCATGTTGCAGGTTCTTGGAGCTTTCTAACCTTATTTTACGCTTCAAGAGGTAGGATTTTCATCCTAACTAGATTTATTTTCAACCTAGGGTGATTATATGAAATGGATAGGTTATTAGATGTATTTAACACTTGCCTATTGTTATAAATTGATAAAATGAGTATTAGAAATGGGTAGAATAAATTCTATCTTGAATTAGGTATGTAGAAATTACTTAATGTGATTTCTTGAGTTATGTGACGATATTTGGCATTTTATGTGATTACATGATTTTGTGCCTTGAAGGTGTTTGATTTAATGCCTATGTGAAATTAACTATACTTTGCATAGATTATGTATAACATGCTTAGAAAATTGTAGTTGAATGTAGATGTCGATATATGCTAGATAATAAATTGACATTATGTGAATTTATGGAAATTATATGTCTATGATATAATTAACCGTGGTGTATGTTGAAATGTGGTTGAGATTATTCATAGGGCAATCATACATATTGGACATGATATAGTTGTTGCAATTGTATATTATATTGCATTTGCACGGAGACATCGTATTCACGGGCATGAGGCATGAGGCATGAGTGTGGGTGTGGGTGCATGGTTGTCATCAAATACCACACTTGGTGGATGATGGGTCGGCTTGAAAAATTTGGATTGAAGATCTGGTTAAGTTGCACGGTTTGTATTGAAAATTGGGTCGGGGTTAGCGAGAAGAGCTGGATCGTCCGTCATGTGCAAAACCTGGTGATTAGGATACGCACTCCCTTGGTTTAGTCCATAAAGTGTGTCGGTGTATGTGGAATCATTGGTGGAAGTCCATGAATTTCGTTTCGGTTAGATACCCGTTGGTGTAAGTCCACAAAAACCCACCTCAAGAAAGATTCAAAAAAAATTTAAATGGTCATTGGATGTATGACATCAATGGCGAGGGGCTTGGAATGCTTGAAATTGCACGCATAACATATGCATGAGTTAAGGGAGCTGGTGAAAGCTCTAGTTAAAATGCGTAAGTAAGTTTTATCTCATTTTATGGCATGACATGGTGATTTTCAACATTGGATTGCATATTCTTGATTGAAATGGTTATTGCTTGTTGAATGTTGCATGTGAACATTTTATATGCAGTTAGGTTGGGGAGTAGCCTCTTTAGGAAATACCCTATTGAGCGTGGCTCACCCTTTATGAAAAAATATTTCAACTAGGTTGCGGGTTATACACCGATGCAGTTAGGTTGCGGGTTATACACCGATGGACGGCTCACATTTGAAGCCTTAAGGATGAAGAAAAGCCGACTTGTGACTTTTAAACCTTATTTTGTAAAACTTTTGTGAAATTTGGTTTTGGACATGTAATCATACGAAAATGATTGTAATGGAACTTGTATGAACCATGTTATATGTAAAACTTCATGTTATGGGAGTTTGGGTTGGTGTTGCAAATGGTTGGAATGGATTGGAATCGAAAACGGATGAAACGGGAGAAAACTAGGCACACCTATCGATAGGAAATTGAGCTTTTCTACTAGTAGATGTGGACCAATAGGCATTATCTACCATTAGAACGTCACTTTTCTACCGGTAGGTTTTCTTAGATTTTCTAAAAATAGAATTCTACTACACAACTTCTGCAGGTAGGTTTTTGAACACTTCTACCGGTAGGTTTTCCTAAAACTTCAAATTTTTGATATGTTTTATCAAACTCTTGTGCAATGATTCCTTGTGATCAAAGGGATTATATGTGACATGAATGACTATGAATTGAGATATAAAGGACCATAGATTTATCAATGATAAAATATGTAAATGGGTTATGATCCCAGTTAAGGGGATGTTATTGGCGTGTTGTCAGGTTGTGCGACAATCACGGATACTTCTGCGGGTTGATGGGTGATCAACGGTTGACAAAAGACCCCTAGTTTTAGGGGCGTCATTAGTTGGTATCAGAGCATAGGTTCCCGATTTACCTAGAGCTTGCGGGCATGGGTATAGAGCATTGCATCCATTGTGCACTACATGTTGTGTGAACAATATTTATGATGAAATGTATATGGAGAAAGAGACACTCGGGTTAGAGAACATAACCTTGGGGGTCGAAAAAAAAAGAA